CTCAGATCTGATATTCAATAATAATATTAAATCAATGATTTATTAACTGTTATACCTATAGTGCCCTCATCAGTTCAGTCAAGAAGATAAAGGAAAGGGTGCAGCATTACCAGACCAATTAATATTACAATTTATCTAGCTCATCTGTTTATATACCAGTGATATTTACAGTTATATTTGTGTATTCTTATATCAGATTATCACATAAATGTCTGCAGTCTGTAAGAGATATGTGCATACTCAGGTACCATATAATTGGATGATTCAAGTGCTAGCAAAATCAAAGGGCTGCAAGCTCTGTGGTATTTTCTGATCTTTGCAATCTTAATCGTACTGTATATCTGTATTTGTTTTCCTGTATAAGTTTATTTTTGGCGTCCTCGGCGCATTTGAAAGGGCGACAGCAACTTCTCGAGCCTTTTAGTCGGACATAATAAAAGCCGTTTATTCCGACCAGTATGAGGGTGCTTGACTGCGGTCTGGAGACCACAGGGTATTGGTACGCGTTTAACTTTTGAGGCATGGAGGAGCACGTGACCTGTTTTCGGTACATGGAGGAGCATGTTATCTGTAAACCGTACATGATTGGTTAATTGACCTTTTCGGAAACCTGGATAAATACCGTTGGCTGGTACGTTACAGATAATCCTCTAGGGAATTAGACACCTAATTAAGAACAAAAAACTATTACGTGATATTTTTAATTTTCTATAATTATGTTACCGTTTAAGGTGGGAAAACTTGAATGATTTGTTTGAAAATGATCAATGTTTCTTTAATATGTATCTCAAAATGTTACAAACAATAAATTGTTTATACTGAAAATCTACAAAATTAAAATATTCGTAGTGGCATCTGCCATCATAAATACTTGTGTGTTTACTTTTTTTTTTTTGCTCGGAATTATTCATAAAATGGTAGGCCTATTTAATTATTTTCTTAAAAAAGAAATAATTGTTTTATGTTCGATCTTCTCCGGTCATCAACGGTCACCAGTTTCCAAAGACCTTCTTCTATATTAATCGATTACTGTCAAATATATCCAGATACAAACGTTTATTTATCCTCGCCCCACCCACTGAAAATAGTTAAATGAAATATATTAATATCATTAAAAACGTTCCCCGCAGGAAACCATTTTATAAATTAAAAATGAAATGTCGCGATATATACAATGAATAGCGAACTGGAGAATTTCGCAATGCAAACATTTTCAAATGAAATAACCTTTTCCGTCAATAAATCGCGCTCTTAGGGGTATTTTTATTTATCATTTTGTAGTACACAGTGGGTTATTATGGTTCATGTATCCGAAAGCTGAATAGAATGGTGAGTTGGTGACCTATATATTCCGAAAATCTATTTATAGAGGGGTGTATTCAAATCGGTAATTCCCGGTCTCTCCTGGTCTATTTTGGCCGGAATTTACTAGTGACCGGCGAATAGTACCACACGTTTATTGTCCGTCTCTCCCGGTTTTCGAGTAGATGTTTGATATCGTTACAGAACAGAACAAACATTTACAGTTATATAAGTTTTTTCAAAATGAATGTTTGTCACTTAGTTTGGTTACAATAATTAATAAACACAGATCAACTCTCAAATTTATTGATTATTATTATACATAAACATACAATTCGAAAAAAAAAACCAACAACAACAATAACATGTTTCATAAAACATGATAAAACACTGATACGTTTGTATCAGATAAAAACAATAAATATGTACAATAATTGAGAAAAAAGGTACATTTTTATGGTATTAATATGACACTATCAACTTTGAAACATTTTATTTAATTTGTTATTCGTGTTTAGTAAAGATGCCGAGGAATTATTCAAAGTTACAAATTAGATTTTATGAATTATTCAATTGATTGATAATTTAAAAAATGATAAAGAAAAATACAAATGTACATGTATATGTTTTAAGAATGAACAATATTATATATTAAAAGTTTAACCATAATTTACTGACTTTTTCCAGTTAAGTTTTTACTTAATATAATCGTCGGTCAATATGACAATTGAATTCTTAAAATATTAGTAAACGTAAAAACTCAGTATTAAAATAGCACATAAAACACAAAAAAAAGAAAGAAAACAATATTCATAAAATCTGTATTTTTTATTACAACTATTGTATAATAAACAATTTTGCTCAACTCGATCGACATGGTAATATAACCAGTGTCATATAGTTATTAAGTGTGAACAGATACCTTTAGAGGGGGTCTTCGCTAATAGCGATAACATAATAAGGAACAAGTGTGGTGTTGATCATGCATTTACACATATGGATTATAAATGATTGTATACATGTATATCCGTTGCTAAAAAATCATTTATGTTCATTTTTTATGATAGCCACACTTTATCCTTGCATAGCGTGGCTATTTCCAACAAAGACACTAAAAAAAGAATTTAAAAAAATGTTGACTCGACTGGGATTTGAACTCCAGACCTCTCACACGTGAAACGAGCGCGTTACCCCTGCACCACGGACAATTTATAAAAACAGTGGTTGAATAAAATCAAGTCATTCGTAATTTATAATTTCCATTGCATTTTGGGTTAGGGTAATTTCGAGGTATTTTGTTCAGGGTAAACCTGTTGTTTAAAATTGAAGTAAATAATTTAGCAAAAATCTTCTCGCCCAAACAGTCCAACATGTAGAAACTCTATATTCAACTACTCGACAGTCAGATTTATTTGTGTAGTATTCGGTCATAGATATCGCTAAAAATAGCATTTTCATTGATTAAAATCATATTCATCCGCGTAATTTGTGAGTGTGCATTTATTGACAATTCCATAAGCCAACGCTACTTTTAAAGTTTGAATGTGTAGTAATTTGTTGGACACTTGTAACAAAAACTTGTTCTTTCTTTTAAATTGCTGGTTTTTAAGCAGTTTTGAGTGAGAACTACATTGCGTTGTTAGGACTGTTGGGAAATATTGTGTTAGACCGTGGATGTTAGCTATGTATTTATCTGATCTTGCGATCAGAAAATACAAAAATAAATGAATAAAAAAACTGTTGCACCTTGCAGCTGCATTAATTTTTACCCTGCAGCTTCTGCTTAAACCTAAAACTCGGCCAGTAATGTTTGTACAATCTTACCTGCAGGTTTTTCTTTTTGTGATATCCCTAAAAATTCAAATGGACTGTTTCAAAATGGTAAAGACTTTTCAGAAATGTGACCAATTTTTTAGGAGATTTTATTATATCTTGACATGTTGCATAATTGTATAAAATATATACTTTTTAGGCATGAAATTATATCAAACCTTAAAAAGATTCTTTGCAGTAAGCAAAATGTTCTTCAACATAAACAGTTGTGACAGATTTGGGGCACTCTCGGACCAATTAACACTGCAATTATCTAGTCATCTACAGGAGATAGCTTTCATATATACATATATACAGATGTATTTTTTGTGTATTCAGCAATCTATTTATCTATAGACCACCAGACCACAAGTTCAGCAGGGGATCCACTTATCAGAATTACTGGTGATAAGATCTTGAAGTTCCTACATGGTTTACCTAGTCCAGCATAATCTAAATACTAAATGCCTCTATTTCCTCTCATTTACGAAACAGCCATATGTAAGGCATGTGCAATATATAATACTCAATACTGTATACATTAATGTTAGAATTGTTGTATCATAAACAATTGTTTGTTTACACATGAAATTGTGTAGTGAATGCTTGAAAATGGAGAAAAATATATATTGTTTAGAATGGTGTAGGCAGACACATCTGAGGTTCATATGCAGCCAATGACCCCCTAATATTTGTGTCTTCTGTACTGACTATCAAGCTAACTTAGTGAAGGACAATGATTTTTCAAATGTACCCAATGCCTTCTGCTATGATCTACATGGAGGTCACAATACAATCTTTAAACATTGTATGTATAACTAACAGAAGAGTTTCTTTTCTTAATTATAAAATGAAATACATCGGGGAACAATATTGTAATGCTCCAAAGAAAAATCATTTAATTAAAAAAATGTTTAAAAATGTGGACAGCAATTGAAATTATCAACAGCAATGGAAATGACATCACTAAAGGGAGATACAAGATTACTGAATGTTACAATATAGAAGTTAATTGGTTATATTGTTTATTCTATTGTAGTAACTGTTCATATAGATAAAAAGACAATTAATACTTTAATTAATTACACTACAGAACATCAGAGTGCAGTGATGTTATATATATCACAGAGATATCTGACAGCTCTGAAATGAACTCGACCTTATCTTCTACTCCTCATCTTCATCAGGTTGTCTCACATAACTAATATGTTATCACAAAAAATACATGACACTTCTTCCATTCCATTTCTAAAATCAAGAATATTTTTTATACTGTTTAGATAACTTTGACAAAAACTAGAGTGCATTCAGATCAATCAGCAGGCTTTCTTTTGAAACTTTTCTATATGTTTTTCGATATCTTAAAAAAAAATTCTGGATTTCTCAGTCATTGTTTTATTGTTGGCTTCATTTTCATATCTTGCAGGAAATCTTCTGAAAATACAAAACTTTCCGGCAGAATTATGTTTTCCGGCAGAATTATGTCTAACATACAGGGAGTATCAGTTCAACTTTATGAATTCATTTATTTTGGTGAATTTTGAGATTTATTGTAAAACATCAGCAACTTATTGATCATTGTTTTCATACAGATTTTTATGGTGCATAAAGCAATGTTTATGTTATTTTCTTGCAAACTTAGCATGTTGAAATGTACTGAATTTTGAAAAGAATTTCAGAAGGATTCAACTGTTTTAATGTAGCTCTAAATAATTATGTAATTTATTTAGGTATACAAAACAAAAAAGTTCTCAGCTTAAAAATTGTTCCAGTGATTCCATTACAGACTTATGTATAACACTAAATTATTATTCTTTTTGAGACTGTTAATTGAAACATTTTATTTTGTAACTAAATTGAGGCAAAATAAATTAAGTTCAATAAATTATTCCAGTAGAGAACAGTATCTCCAATGGAATGGTAGCAGATAAGCCTTGTTGCAGAAGAACTCTGAGTATCTTCTAGCAAAGATTAGAGAATTCCATTTTGACAATATGTTTATTCTAGACTATCAGTGGAAGGAGATAATTGTTTCTTATTTTATTGAGAAACAAAATAAATTTCCACTGGGAGATTTTGTACCACCCCTAATTATTTTTCTTGAGGTTCATTTTTGTTTACTGAGGCAATTTCTGCCTACATTTTGGTTCACTGTTCTGACTACACTGTTTATTTTGGAATATCTTCAGGAACATTAGTGCCAGGCGATGTCAAGAGCTTAAATCATAAATATTTCAAAAGGTTAAAAGAATCAAGAGGCGGTAGCCAGGTATCATAAGTTATTTCTAAACTTGGGTAATGGATTATAAGTTTCAGCATAATAGCAAACCAAAACTGAATTAGGTTTGGTGTGGGTGGCCAAGTGGTTATGGTTGTTGACTTCAACCACTTGTCCCTAACTTCTGTGGGTTCGAATCCCACAGAGGACTCTGGATTTTTTCATGTGACGAAGCTATCCAGTGAACATAAGAAATGGTAGTTAAGACTACTCAGGTGCCCCGTTTGTGCCTTTCTTATCTTTCTTGTTCTCATAAACAATGATTCTCTCCCCAGTGCACTTTCAACTTCTGCCAAAAAATGAAGATACAAAATGTACAGAACAAATGAAAATAATACTATAAATAAGTATTAAGACCTTCATTCAAGTGAAAATCAACTAAATAAGGAAACTCATGCAGACATTGTTAACTTTTTATTTAATCAAATTATTTTCAATTTAATTAAAAGTAATTGGTGACATTATCATGATATCATGCCTTGTCCAATTTGATAGATGATGACATCATAGTAATTAGTACTTCAAAATGACTCACACCATACCATGTGTTATCTGCAGATCACTCATATATTTCCAGGGCAATAAAGACCCCACTTATGCTGATTTTAAGTGCTATCCCTACAACCCAGATACCCCAGTATAACTATAAACCCTGCAGCAAGTCTTCTGGCCTAATGCATCACTGTCATAATTAAAATGACTTAAATACTTAAGTTACATCAGTTTTACAATAAACAAGCCCATAATGTTTACACTTCCTCTTTATCTAGAAGATTATCTGACTTTTTGTTAACTGTTTCAATTATTGTTCCATAATTCCAGCTGAAAAATTGGTTAATAGTTACAATCAGTCATGTCACAGTCAGGCATCTTGTGTTCACATTGTGCCAATTCTGATTCATTCCTTTGTTGAATATTGGTAATATAATCTAATATTTCAGTCTGTTTATTAACAATTAACACTGATCGGAGATAATGATGAAAGTTTTTATCAGAATGAGGTTCAAAAGGTTGAAGATGTTTTCTTTTACTATCAGCATGTTTGGTTTGTATTTATAGAGGTTTGCTCAGGCACTTGTTAATCCTCGAAGACATATGCCTGCCAGAAATCCGAGTAAATTGTGTAAATATTGAATGCTGTGGGTTTTTTTTAACAACTTTATTGTTGCCGATAAAGGTACTTCAAACTCATTAGCTTCTTAGGCTAGACTTGTGTAACTATGTGTTGTATAGGGCCATATGTTTTTCGGCCTAGATGAATGGTTATGATAAAGAAATAGGAGATCTTTTGTGCAAAATGCTAAAAATTCATGCTTTCTATAAGTTGTCCCTGTTGTCCCTGTTTTTATATAAATATTTGGATGCATTACCAGGCAAATCAAGAGAAATCTACTATCCTGCACCAGAATGTACCAGTTTTTGTATGATTTCTCTTCATATTGAATCTAAGTTAATTTTCACAGAATGGAATAGATTTGTTCTATACTATATCTAGATGTTTTATATTTTGAATTCCTATATTATACATGTATAAAGTTACATTGTAGTGTCAGGAAAAGGCTATTAATCCTTAAGTTAATACAGGGCAAATTACTGTTCAATGTTTCTTGAATTTGTTTTAATCTTTTTCTGTGGGGGTGGGGGGGGGTCTTTTCTTTTTTATAGACTTAATGTGTACATTTATTGCTAGCATAATAAACAAGATGCAACAGAAATTATTTCATTGGGTATGAAACAAACAAACATTCACCTTGGCCTTTAAAAATATTTTAGTATTTTGATAATCTGAGTTTTATAGTGACTCATTTTGTCATTGTGTGGCTTCTGTTCAAGAATATTTACTTGTTTTAATGGTTATATATAAGCACTGAGTGGTTTTCAAGATTTTCAAGGAAGTTCAAGTTTTAGGTAAAAAGGGTTATCGAAAAAAAATGTCAATATATAGAAGTGACTCAATATTTGCACTCACGTTTGAGTAATTTATGAAGGACTTTTGTTTGAAAAAAAATCTAGTTTATATTTAAAATGTAGCATTTAGAGAAGATGGAGGTACTTGAAAAAAATAAAGAAATCCATTATAACAATGTATGGCTTGGTAATTGACTAAATATTTGCTCAACTTTATCGATTTATTTTTGAGAGTCTGATATTCTGTCATAACAGTAACAGGTTAAAGTTACTTTGGTATTTATGGGACGAAAACTTAAATCTGATTTTCAACTAATTAAATTATTATATTCTTATATTTTGTTAAATAAAACAAATCCTGTTAGATTTTTGTTTGTTTTTAACTCTTTAGAATAAAATTTTAATGATTTCATATATTGAAATACAAAATTTGGGCTATTAACAGTTAAAATAGAGCCTCAGGTCAGACTGCACAGCACAGTCTGTACGTTCTATACTGGTTGCAATGTTATAATCACTCATTTTCAGCATGTTATATAGTGAAAATTGAGGGCCATTTACTAATGTTCCTTTGAAAAGTATAATGTTTTCCCTCAATTGTAACTTCATATTTCCAAGTTAGGAAAATGTTCTTTAATGCATACATTCTTCCTCATTTAGACTATTGTTGCACTATTTGGGGTAATTGCAGTAAGGAACTCTTAAACGACATGTATAAATTTCAAAAACGTGCAGCAAGAATAATACTTGATAAAGATTTTGATGCACCTACTGATGAGTTATTTTCTGAATTGAACTGGATGAAATTCTCTGATAGAGTGAATTATAAAAAGGCCATTTTAGTATACAAGTCCCTAAACAATCTTCTCCCTGATTATATGCAAAATCTTTTTACAAATACAGAAAATAAATCATTAAGAACATATGAACAAAGACAACGTTTAGTCCCCAAACCAAGAATTGAATTCTGCAGAAAATTCCTATTATATTTAGGCTCAAAATTTTGGAACTCCCTCCCTTTAAACATAAGAAATTCTTCCAACTTACAAACATTCAAAAATTATCTTAAATGGTGGTTCTCTGGTGGGCATCAAATAATCTAGCTATTGTTTTAATATCACATATATACATGTATGTCTCATAAAATGTACAATTTCATACTTTCAAATGTTTATATTCATTTTCTTATTGCATTTTTCAATAACTCTACTTTTCTATGTTGTATAACTTGTATACATTAAGTTTTCTTTGTTTATATAAATCTTCTGTTTGTAACTGTATATATGTACATTTTGATAGAGGCTCATAGGGAAGACTGGGCTTGCCTAACTATGTTGCCTCTTTAAATAAAGTCTTTATTATTATTATTATTATTATTATAATTATTTTTGCGTATGAATAAGCCACCTTAAAGAAAAAGAGCCCTAAAATAACTGATTGAAACATATTCTTAATTAAATAAGACATTAAATGACCCCACTGCATTTTCTTTCAATATTTTCCAATTTTATGACAGCCTGTTTAAAGTGTATTTTTTTTAAAAACACCAATAATTGATAAAAAATTTAATATCAGCACATTAATTTTCTTTTATTCATTTCAAGATTGTCCTGATATAAAAACTACCATCATCTGGATCACACAGGAACTTGATTGTTTGAATTGTACCTTTCAATTATTTGTTTTTATTTCAAGTTTTTGCCAGTTATTGAATATTGGAATTCTGATATCATACAATATTAATTCATTAATTGAGCCGCGTCACAACAAAACCAACGTAATGCGATTGCGACCAGCATGGATCCAGACCAGCCTGTGCATCCGCTCAGTCTGATCAGGATCCATGCTGTTCGCTTACAAACCCTATTACAAGTAGAGAAACTAAAAGCGGATAGCATGGATCCTGATCAGACTGCGCGGATGCGCAGGCTGGTCTGGATCCATGCTGGTCGCAAACGCATTACGTTGGTTTTGTCGTGATGCGGCTCAATGATCAAATGTTATATGATCATTTTCCTTTAAGTGGGTGATTATTTAATTCATTTATTGCAGTGTTTAAAGTGAGCAAATATTTACTAAGTTAATGACTCACTAACTATTATAGAAATAGCATGTCATAGCACATCCCCTTGTAATATGATCGAAGGTAAGAAAAATATTAGATTACCTCTCTTATATCACAAGCTCAGAGTTGGTTTGGTAGAAGATTACATACTGCAACATTATCTGTACCAAACCTGAGTGACTTGTGTCAAAAAAAGGGTTCACAAAATTCAGCCCCGCATCAAAATTTAGTTAACACGGGACCATCGGAAAGGCACCTAGTAGGTCAATATTCAATAAAAGCAGTTTCAAGGGCACAAAGGGTAAAATACGGGGGAGGCACACCAATTAATGTCGTTTAACATCACATCACTGAAATCTGTCATTAAAAACAGGTCACAAGCAAACAATTTGCCTGTATTTTGAAGAAAACTATAAGAAAAAAGAAATGATTGACTTGTGCATCAGTCAAATATAAGCCCGTCCCCGTCCATCCAAGAAAAGTGTGGGTGTGTTGAGCAAGTACAGAATTTATGTAATGAGTTTGTTTTAGCATCAATGTAGCAGTGGTATGTTGCAGTGCAGTGACATTTGAGCCGTGTCACGACAAAACCAACATAATGGGTTTGCGACCAGCATGGATCCAGACCAGCCTGCGCATCCGCGCAGTCTGATCAGGATCCATGCTGTTCGCTTACAAACTCTATAACAAGTAGAGAAACTGATAGCGAACAGCATGGATCCTGATCAGACTGCGCGGATGCGCAGGCTGGTCTGGATCCATGCTGGTCGCAAACCCATTATGTTGGTTTTGTCGTGACGCGGCTCATTTAGAGGAGATTTTAACATCTGGCAGGACATGTCACCTTTACCACTAAGGTTGAATATCCAAAATTATAAGTCCATTAAACTAAAGTATTCAGTGGATAATGGGAAAAGTGTGTGTTATGAAAAAAATATAATAACTGAAAACAAATTTGAAACTTAAATCTCATGAGATTCATAAACTATTAAAACAAGCAGCTAACACTTTATACAGG